CACGCCATAAAAAGCTCGTTACCCGTATGGATACGGTCATGACGTTCCAATGCTTCATCGACAGCATCTCCTGAATATAAATTCTTCATCCACCACTCCGACAGGTTTGGAACAATGCTGTCGTAATGTCCACTCCTGCGAGCCTCGCGTTCGGCGATTCGTTTCGCCTCAATCTCATCAGCCATGCGTTGCGCTTCAGTATCGTCGATAACACGCTTCTCATCAGTTTGGGTTGCAGAGACCATCTTGGAATCGATGGGATCCCTGTCTTTAGGCTGTTGTAGGTCAATTTCCACTCGTTTCTTGACGGACTTTTTAGCCACAGGGGTTGTTTTCATCTTAGACACGCCCGACTTTTTTGTCGTCGCCGAGGATGCCTTCGCGTTGATAGATTTGCCCATGGTGCGCCGGTGTTGAATGGTTGGCTTGGTGATAAATTCGAAAGTTTTCTACGTAAATTCAGTACTAGCGCTACGCAAGGCAGACTGGTTGGTTCTGCCGGAATGCGTGTTGTTTCGTTTCTGAAATAATTTTTTCTATAAACTTTGTTTGAAATCCAGATGCTTTAACGTGTACTGCGCCGTCATTCCATCAATTCTTGATTGATACTTGGCTCTATCAGAATTATACAGACATCCTTTGGCCCTGAATCTTTCCCATGATTCCTTCTTATGTTGCAATCGTTCAGCATCGCTTCCCAATAAATCATATTCCTGACTCTTCTCAGTAAATTTGTTCAAAAAATCATCACCGAGCAAAGCTTGCAATGCCTTTGCCCTTTCTTCAAACTGTTTACAAAAACTTGCAATGTTTTCCTTCTCCTTTTGATGGCAATTAATCAGATTGCTCATGGTCTTCCACAGACCAAAATATTCCCGTTCTGTATCAACAGTAGTTGTCATAAATTTCTTGATCCGCATCAATAACTCCACAGGATCATTGAATAGTTTGTTTTCAAACTCAGCTTCTCTCTCAAGCTTGTCCACCATGTGATTGGTGCACATCTTCATAATCATTCCATAGACATTGTGTTTATTGTTATCAAACGCGTTCTTCCTGGTCTTCCAATCCTTTTGATCAGCCAAATACTAGTTTGTTCTTCTTTCTTCATTTTTTATTTCCTTATCAGGATCACTGTCATTAGTTACCAATACCAATATCGGTTTCACACTTTCTATACTGAACAACTTCAAGGTCCGTACACTCTGAATCATGTCATCAATATGATCCATCTTCATCGTTGACATTTCGATCACCAATGTCTTCTTTACTTCATCAAAGCTAAATTTGGGAATGTTTCCTCCAGTCAGAGGATGAAACTTCTTCTCTTTCTGGCTACCATTGCCACTCTTATTTCCATTGTATTGACCATTACCTTAGCCTTGCTGCAATCTGTTTTGTCCAGCATTTCTTCCATTGGAACCACGTCCAGTATTCTGAAATCTTCCACTCATTATGAGCAAGTTCCTATTCTTTCAAGTCGTAGGAATATATCGGCCCCCAATTCAATTCAGTTCCTATTCTTTCAAGTCGTAGGATAGATCAACTCAGTGACTTTTTATAATATATGTTAGAAGTAAGCAATCCACTGCTGCCTGCAATCTACCTGTTCAATTTATTGCAATTTAGCTGTCCAGGTATTGTTGCCTTCTAAGTATATGAATTTACAGTATATAGAAGTATATAGATCTATCAGAGATCCTACTTTATCAACCAATTCACTTGTTGCTTGCAATATATTATAAAAAGTGAGAACAGTCTGTCAACTTTTGACTTTGACTCTTTCTTCTCCAGCCCAGTGGAAATTCTCAGAATTCTTTCTACGTCAGCCTGATATGCTGCAAGTTCAATCTGCTTATCCGTTCACCTTCCACTGTAGCCGGTACATTGATTAGTATCCAACTTTGGTTCTTGCTTGAATCTTGCTTTCTTACATCATCAACAGGATGATTTCCATAGAAATATATATTTTGTTTTCTGACTTGCCATGCGCGATATTTTTAGTTGCATCAGTCTTCATTTTTAGTCGTATCAGTCGACATCATTTCTCTATCGTTCACATGTATTCTCTTTTTCTTGTTTCTCCAAATATGTACTTTGAAAATCCTAATATATCCAACATTTATCCTTTGTAGTAGTGGTGACTGGTCTGGCATCAACCATGGGTGCATCAGGAGAGGTTTCATGAAAGTTGGGTTCTCTCAGTAGAAAATGTAGTACGTACCCCTTTCAACTCTCATGAAATTTTGTGCTTTGCGCAAAACTTGGCATTTTTTGTAGATGAACTGTTGGGAGTGATGTCTTGAGGACCCGGATGTGCATGTTGGTTTTTTTTAAAAAAATATGAAACTGGGCGTGTGTAGGTGCTGTATGAGGAAGGTGACGATACCCTTCAGAACGTTCCAAGCTAGTTGCTCATACTTTTTCCGGCAAACAAAGATGTAGGATCCTTCCATTTCCCCAGGTACAACCATCCTGAAAAGCGGACCCGCCTTATGACGGTCAAGGTCTTTCTTGCTTTTTTTGTCTGCTGCTTTGGCCAACTTGCGCTGAGCAGGAGGTAGATCCTTCAAGAAGTGATTCTTGATCTCAGAAGATGTAGAAGAACGCTTGGGCTTTTTCTTCACTTTTTTTTTGTGACTGGCTTGAAGGAGCCCAAGTTAGATGTAGCAACGCCTTCAGCGTCCGTTTCATCATCAGTACAGTCATCCTGAGCAATGGAGTCTTTGAGTGCCTCCTTGGCTGCAGCAGAGGCCTTGTCAGCCTGAGCAGGGGTAGCCTTAATCAACAAATGAATCTTGAACAGAGTACATGAAATGTACGAGGTAGTTGGAGCAAACTTGAACATGTCAGGGAAGCCGATAGTAGGGTAGAGAACCACCATGGTCAAAAATATAGTAATCCCAAAGTTTGCTGATCAAAGTTAGAATAGCATCCTTGACCAGGCTGCAGGCCTTGAAACTCAAAAGACCTTGTTGAGCAGACTTCCAGTCGCTCATGTAGGTGGTTGGGGCACAAAAGGGAAATTCTGGTTTTGGGGTGGCTGAATTGAGCCACAATCGGCATTCACGGTCAGCACAATTGGCATGGATCGCCCTTCTTGTGTACATATGGGGACCGGTGACACCAGGTGAACATTCATCATACTTGGCCCTACCAGTATATGGAGTAGCAACCCAATCCATCGCAAGACCAATCAAGTGTTGGAAATTGAAACGGCGCATCACCTCCTTGGCATATGCTGTGAAGTTGACCTTGGGTGTAATGAAGGAAAGAGAACCAATCTTCACGATCTCTCCATATGGTAGGGGGGAAAGATAGCAGTCAGCGCCACGGCCCAGTTGTCAAAGGCCTGTATGGAGATAGTCTTGGATCGTCTCAGTAGTGACATGCATGGCAAAGCCCACCAGGTTTGCTGTTTACAGCCGCATAAGGGTAATTGCCATAGTCCATGTCCAGGTAGGTGCTTAGATTACAGTAAGTTGAGAGACAATTATGTAGCTCAACCAAATCGCGGATCCACACGTTCTGTTGCTTGTAAGTAGAGTCAGAGATAGGCAGGAGACGGAGGTCATGTGGAGTGTTATCCAGGGCTTCTGGCAGGGAAGAAAGGACCATGGACAGAATTGCAGCAGCAACTGTTCCTGAGTCAGTCTAGGCCCGGATAATCCAGAGAAAACGTTGCTTTGAAAAGATTACAGTTACATGGTAAACCTTGCAAATTCACCTGGGTTAAGGTTGCAATCTTCTCCATTGTGCGCTCCTTGATCAAGTCATACCTCATGCTTGTTGGGATATGACAAAACATGAGTTTTATGTTCCTTGAAAACTATTCAAGTACAAAGTTTTGACATGCATGATCCAATTTTGATCGTGCTGTGAGCATTTGACAAAAGACTGGCGGACAAGCAATATCCACACACAAATCAAATGACCCTAAACAAGTGGTATATCAATGATGTGCATGATGCAGTAGGGAATATTACCAACTGTAGTCAACAGAGAATCCTCGTAGAAGTCGGATTGAGTTCTGTAAAAAAGGGATTTCCCAGAAGGAAATCCTTTCAACTCACTTTTCTGATTGAATCATCAATTCAAGCCAAAAATTAATCAAACGAGAACAATTTCACTCAAGTATACCTAATACAGGAGAACTATTCTTGTGGAAATGTTGTACAGTCGATTGCAAATTTAGAGAAACAGAGAGTTTGTTCTGAGTGCTAAAGGCAATCACAAAAGAGCACAGTCTGCTTATTTCTAGTATTGGACTCACCTCCATATGGTAAATGGGCATGACAGCTGTTAGAATAAAGCAAAATGTGCTCTAGTGTGAGTGCCTTTAGCGCTCAGAACAAACTCTCTGCAATCTAAATTTGCAATCGACTGTACAACACTTTCACGACAATAGTTCTCCTGTGTCTAGGTATACTTTGAGTGAAATTGTTCCTATTTGATTAATGTTTGGCTTGAATTGATGATTCAATCACAAAAGTGAGTTCAACAATTTTCCCTTGGAAAATCCCTTGTTTACAGAACTCGATTCGACTTCTACAAGGATTCTGTGTTGAATGCAGTACTTTGGGACATCTTGTATTATTCCCTACTGCATCGTACACAACATCAATATCACACTTGTATACGGTCATTCCCTTTTTGTGTAGATGTAGATTGTCCGACAGACTTGCGTTTGGCATACTTGCGTCGAATCCGCCAAGGATGGCGCAGTGCAAGGACGGCCGCTCGTTGCCTACACCAAAAAACTCAAGGTGTCAAAGTTTCACCGGCTCTACAAGAAGGCTTGGAGGAAGGAGGTTTTTGGGAATGAAGCATTCATCACTTGGTCCTCTCGCACCGCGGATCACTCTGGTCGGGCAATATCCAAATGCCCCGGATGGTGGGCGGAAGCTAGTACGGACCAAGCAGATGCTCATTCCTAGGACAAAATCGCTGTGTTAATCCTGTCTGGCTTGAAGGTGTACGACCCATCACTCGGTGGTTTGATGCCCCAGCTTCGGTCCAGCATACAGAATCTGTTTTCACTTGGAGACCTCAAAGACGCAGACAACAACGAAGGATCCTGGTCTCTTCGCGAGTACTTTCTTCGTCTCGCGACACAGTGCCCCACGGTTGTGTTTGATCTGGCAACGGCCCAACGCGTTATCAAAACTGACAAAAAGTTGCCTTGCTTTTGGGAATTCGCGCTCGTGTTCGACCCAACATTAATTGTTCAACGCGCCGAGCCGTTGACGTGGATGTGGCTAGCGGCAGCCAAATTCTTTGCCCATCCTTGGACTGGCCCTACAATCATTCCTCCCATTGTTGAGGAATTCGAGCGACTAGAACAAGAGTCAAAAATATCCAAAGCTCAGTCCAAGTCTAAGAAGTGCCCTGCATCTACTCCAGAGAACCCAAAAGGTGCAAAGGCCCACAATTCGCGCCCGTCTCCCTCTGTCCAGATGCAAACGGAACTGACGCCACCACAGGGTCGGTCCAATCCCTACCAACAAACTCCACCTTCGGATGCCACTCCTCCTCGCCAACAAGTGGTCATGTCTGACGCTGTTCACATCATTGCTGGCACCCCAACAGGAACACAGGAAGCCAGTCTTCCAGTGGTTGTGGTGGCTGCGTACTGGCCTAACCCTCTGGGGACTGGCGAGTCTACCGTGTGGGCACAACACCGGAGTTTCTTTTGCTCCCAAGGTCGACAGCGTGAACCAAGGGAGGCCTTTATGGTGGATCTTCTTCAAGCCATCACCCAATGGCGCGATGAAGGATGTGAAGTAATTTTGGGGGTCAACGCCAATGAGGACATCAGCTCCACTAAGTCCTCTTCTTTTCGCCAACGTCTTTGCGATGTTGGTATGGAAGAAGCTATCCTCCAACGACACCCCGGTCGAACGGCAGCCACTCAGCACCGGAACAATAGGGGCAAACCGATTGACGGCATTTTCACAACCTCTGGGGTGACTGTACAGGCAGGAGGCTACTACAACTTTGATGAGTTTTTCTCCTGCGACCATCGTGGTCTTTGGATAGATAGCGTCGGTTGATCACTCCGGCAAGGACATCTGCCAATTGGTCCAGGCGGCTGCGTCCATGTGGGCTGGAGGAATTAGTGCTACGGGCGGAGCGATCAATCCGGAGAAGTCCTTTTGGTGCTTGATCGACTTTGCTTGGGATGGCGGGAAGGGACAATGGACATTCAGGAGGAAGAATCAGTTGTTGCCGGACCACCGGCTTCAGATTCCAGGCTTGTCTGGCAAGTTGGAATCTCTTTGTTGCCTTGAGCCAGGGGAGGCAGAGAAGACATTGGGAGTAATGCTCGCGCCACTCGAGGACCAGAAGGCCCATGTTACACATCTGAAGGGTATTGCCAAAAGGTGGGCTGAACAAGTTTGGTCTGGTCACCTTCACAAATACGATGTGATCCCCTTGATCAAGTCCACTGTTATGAAGTCACTAGAATATCCAATGACGCAATTGACACTGGAGGCCGCAACATGGGTGGATATTATGAGCCCGGTTCTACAGGTCTGCCTGCCGAAAGCCGGCATCTGCAGAAGTTTTCTGCGTGATATGGTGTTGGCTCCATTGAAGTTCCAAGGCCTGGGCATCCCACATCTGTTCGGCTCACAGGTTTCCAAGCATATTGAAACTCTCCTCCGTCATTCGACCAACAAGACAAAACCGGAGCCTACCTGGAAGCCGCTTTGCAAGAACATCAGCTCAAAATGGGCACTTTGTTCGGTATCTTTCAGCAGGATTATTGCAACACTGCCGTCTTGGCTTCTGATACATGGATAAAGCAAGTCTGGAAAGAACTGGAGAACATGGACATCTATGTGGCCTTTGATTCTCCGGCCTTACCACTATGATGCGTCGGTGATGCTCTGCTTGTGGAAGTGTTTATGGATTTGGAGGTGAACCAAGACGATCTTGACAGAATTGTATCAAGAACGGGTTTCATGACTTGGACCAATACGATTCGTATGTTAGCAGTCTTACGGGTCTTATAGTAATTAATAGTAAAATAGATATGATGACGTGTCGTTGGATGAGAACAGTTGGAACTTTGCGCACCAAGCGCATCAACTGTCTGTCAATTCCCAATTGGTTGTTGACTGGTTGCTAAGTGGGCGCCGACGCTCCAATCTAAACCCCGCATAAGGATTGTGTGCAATGGGTTTTCCGCCCTTCTCAATACCTTTAGCGATAATCAAGTCACTCCCCAACAGGCGCAGTTTGACCTGGTCTCTTCCCTCCGCGAGGCCCTTGCGCGCTCCAAAGCATCGTGGGAGCCTAGTCATGTGTATGGTCACCTTGACCATGCTACGTCCTTCTCGTCCCTGTCTTGGTGGTCCAAAAGGAATGTTGAAGTGGATAATTTGGCAGTGGCATACCGCCATCAGTTGAAGGCTTCTAACCAACTGATTGCACCCAATGCCCGCTTCTTTACTGAGTTGGCCGCTCTCCATATTGGAGACGTTAAGCAGTCTCGCTTGGACCCAGACTACATCCAAGAGCTGGTGGCGCTTCCCGTCCTACGCAAGCGATAGCGCGAGAAACTCATGGTCACCCCAGAGGCGGAGTCGGAAACCAACTGGACCAGTCTGGCCCGGGCCATGCGATCTCTCCCAGCGGGCGTCAAACGCTGGACCACAAAGCACGTGGTGGGTATGTGCGGTGTTGGCAAGTTTAAGGTACGATGGGGATATGACACATCTGCCGCATGCCCATGCTGTGGCGAGTTCAAAGATCACCTACACATACCTCGATGTATGGCTCCATCCACCAGCGCTGAATGGGATCGCCGGATAGTGGCCCTGGATTCATGGCTGGAAACACAAGTGACAGATCCGGCCATCAAACATGCCCTCCTCTCCCCCCTTAAAGGGGTTCGCGATCCATCCCTCCCGTCCATCCAAGTGGTACCAGGTCGACTGCGCAGCGCCTTCCAATCCCAGCAATGCATTGGCTACCAAGGGCTATTGGAAGGAAAATTGTCCCGCCAATGGGCCCCGTTGCAGGAGGAATATCTGCAGTCGCGCGGGAGCCAACGCTCTCCGACCTTATGGGCCTCACGCCTCTCGCATCAGTTGATTTTGCTGGGCTTCCAGATGTGGGAACATCGGAACTTGGTACTTGGAGGACAATGTACAGTTACACGAGCGCAGCCAACAGGTCAACAACGGGATACACAACCAGTTTGATATGGGTCCAACTGACCTACCTAAGGTTGTCCAACGCATGCTTTCGGTCAAGCGCCGGACAGTCTTGCACAAACCACTGGTAGATTGTGAGGAGTGGTTGAAGCTGGTGAGGATGGAACGCACGGCCTACCGCCGCGCTTTGGCGCCTCAACGCCATATTCTTCATCGCTTCTTCCAACACAAGACGTGTGGTTTTGTGTCATTTGGTTTTGTTTGGAAACCTCCGCTCTGTTCGGTTGTTTCGTTTGGCATGTGCGGTTTGATTCGGAATAAAAATAACTAGTTACGGCGCGTCACACGCATAAGATGCAAACTCCCCGCAACTCCCTGTTAATCTGACAGAATATAATTATTCTTGGGTGAACGCTCAAGATTACACTAGAAGATAAGATATCAATTCAAGGTAAACAAAACACAACGCGATGAGTCGATCGGGAATTGACAAACAGTTGATGAGCTTGGTGCGCAAAGTTCCAACTGTTCTCATCCGACGACACGTCATCATATCTATTTTACTATTAATTACTATAAGACCTGTAAGACTGCTAACATACGAATCGTATTGGTCCAAGTCATGAAACCCGTTCTTGATACAATTCTGTCAAGATCATCTTGGTTCACCTCCAAATCCATAAACACTTCCACAAGCAGAGCATCACCAACGCATCATAGTGGTAAGGCCGGAGAATCAAAGGCCACATAGATGTCCATGTTCTCCAGTTCTTTCCAGACTCGCTTTATCCATGTATCGGAAGCCAAGACGGCAGTGTTGCAATAATCCTGCTGAAAGATACCGAATAAAGTGCCCGTTTTGAGCTGATGTTCTTGCAAAGCTGCGGTTTTGTCTTGTTGGTCGAATGACGGAGGAGAGTTTCAATATGCTTGGAAACCTGTGAGCCGAACGGATGTGGGATGCCCAGGTCTTGGAACTTCAATGGAGCCAACACCATATCACGCAGAAAACTTCTGCAGATGCCGGCTTTCGGCAGGCAGACCTGTAGAACCGGGCTCATAATATCCACCCATGTTGCGGCCTCCAGTGTCAATTGCGTCATTGGATATTCTAGTGACTTCATAACAGTGGACTTGATCAAGGGGATCACATCGTATTTGTGAAGGTGACCAGACCAAACTTGTTCAGCCCACCTTTTGGCAATACCCTTCAGATGTGTAACATGGGCCTTCTGGTCCTCGAGTGGCGCGAGCATTACTCCCAATGTCTTCTCTGCCTCCCCTGGCTCAAGGCAACAAAGAGATTCCAATTTGCCAGACAAGCCCGGAATCTGAAGCCGTTGGTCCGGCAACAACTGATTCTTCCTCCTGAATGTCCATTGTCCCTTCCTGCCATCCCAAGCAAAGTCGATCAACCACCAAAAGGACTTCTCCGTGTTGATCGCTCCACTGGTAGCACTAATTCCTCCAGCCCACATGGACGCAGCCGCCTGGACCAATTGGCAGATGTCCTCGCCGGAGTGATCAACCGACGCCCCTGCCTCAATAACGTCCGTGTCGTCCACAAAACAGAAGGACTGAGCTGTGACCAAGTGAGAGTTGATCGCAGTGAGACACTCAAATCCAAAACCCATTGCCACCATCATTTGAATAATAATAGAGCTGACCGAGACCCAGATGGGGCTGCCTTGTCCGCACCCTTGGAAAGGAATCATTGACGGCGGTCGGAAGCTTGCTTTGGAGTCTCCAAAGCCGGTTTGTACTCAATGTGTGGATGTTGCCAGCGTGTCAAACATCATCCAAAGTGCATTCCATGTTATGGCCAACCGCATCATGGCAACCACTGCCACCCAGTGAACAAATCGATCAAAGCATGACTTGGCATCGTTCGAAATCCACCCTGCCAATCGACGCTGGAGAATCAGTAGGTCCCACACCAGCCGCTTCAACAGGGCAAGATCAATCGCTTGACGGTGCTTTCGGGACCCGCATTGACCATCAGCAATCAGGTGATGGTCTTCGCCATAAGTCATGGCCAGACGACCAAGTTGCTTATAATTGGCCTGGGATTCAGAGTTCATCAACTGAATTGTTCGCATTTTCTTCAGGCGAAACTCCCCAGGCTTCTTTTCAATGGCAAAATTCATTAAATGTCGCCAGTTGTCAGGAACAAACCCAGTAGTTAGAGGGATATGCCGAAACAAGGCGTCACACTGGGCGATCATAGGGGAGAGAATCCCAGCTTTAAAGTGGCCATTATGCAGGCATGAGGTTCAGAGCCCTTGTGTTCCGGATTCCGAGACCAGAAGTAGGTGTGATATTCAGTAGAAACCTCCAGAAGGGACATAGAATGATCTTTGTGGAACCTGCACTGAGAAAGGAAAGACCGAGTTGGGTTTTTAATGCCATCTGGTAGAGGAAGGCGCCCTTCAAGAAGGGCGAGGGAGTTTTGTTCCGCGTCATGGCCATTAAACATTTGGTACAATGGAGCGTCCATTGGAGGGGTCATATGAGGCAATCTGGTCTGATCATATCGTGCGCAATTCTCCTGCATGCACCCCTGTTCCACTTGACTCCTTTCAGAGACAGTCCGCAAGCCCACTTCACCTGAAGGCAGCCTCTCTTCGACTTGAATCGCGTGTAATCCCCCAGTAGATCCTTTTGCCTGGGCGCGGCGGCGGCGTCTCGCCTCCTCCCGTTGCTTCATCCGCCGTAACCTCAGGAAACGGTCTCTGGCCTTTTGCGACCGCCATTGTTTCTTTTTGGACTGCGCCGCCTGCACCGTCAAAAAGTCCTTGCGCCACTTTGCAGCATAATGGGTCTTAGCCTCAAGGTAGTCCTTCCGGTCCTGACGGAGGGCGGCCTCCAATTCCGTTGTTGTCTTTGTCCACGCGTCCGGTATACCAACCTTCTTCATCAATCTGCGGATTTTACGCAAACTCACCCGACAACCCTTCCTCCCCTTCAAAAGAATCTTCCACAAGGATTGACAATCCCAAAACTGTTGCATCTTAGGAGACCAGGGCACCGATCCATTAGTTACCCATCTACATTTTTCCTCCGCCTTTCGCCGTACGACGTACATCTGATGGTGCAGGCAGTTATAATGACGACCCATTGTTGCTGTCATGGTCCCTTCATTTAGTTGTAGTTGGTGATGTAGGGACGCCAAGCGAGATGGGATGGAGTATGCCTCGTAGCCCTTGTGAACGAGTTGCAGGTAGCGGCGGACTGCTGTAGTATCCAACATAGTAAGTTTGCGGGGTGTTTACGGGGTCTTCTGTGGTTTGTACCCGCCCAAAGATTTCTATCAATCCAAAGACCACGATGGTCGCAGGAGAAAAACTCATCAAAGTTGTAGTAGCCTCCTGCCTGTACAGTCACCCCAGAGGTTGTGAAAATGCCGTCGATCGGTTTGCCCCTTTTGTTCCGGTGCTGAGTGGCGGCCGTTCGACCGGGGTGTTGTTGGAGGATAGCTTCTTCCATACCAACATCGCGAAGACGTTGGCGAAAAGAAGAGGACTTAGTGGAGCTGATGTCCTCATTGGCGTCGACCCCCAAAATTACTTCACATCCTTCATTGCGCCATTGGGTGATGGCTCGAAGAAAATCCACCATAAAGGCCTCCCTTGGTTCACGCTGTCGACCTTGGGAGCGAAAGAAACTCCGGTGTTGTGCCCACACGGTAGACTCGCCAGTCCCCAGAGGGTTAGGTCGGTACGCAGCCACCACAACCAAATCCCTAGAAAAC